GTGTCCGCCATATTGGATCCGCCATTTTGAATTTTGAAAAAATAATATCATATTCGTAATTAGCGACCCCGAAAACCCCCGAGTAACGAGTTTCAAGCGAATCCGATGAATTTTTCCAAAAGGTGTCCGCCATATTGGTTTTCTGGGGTTATATCAAAACCCTGAACTGATGGGGTTAAATGGACCTCGGATTCGGATTCAGCGACCCCAAAAACATAAAGTACACATAGTGAGACCTTTGGGTCAGAACACAAATTTTTTTTTGTGTGGCTGTGTAATGAATAAATCTCCTAAGCATTCTACCGGAAAAGTGCAGCTATACTAAAACAGCTAAGCGAATAAATAAATAAAGCAGCTAAATGGAATGTACCGTAGTAGACTAATTTTAATTTAAAAATTCTATAGTTACCTTAATCACCTAATATTAATAATGAAACAAGATTTGTAGCACAGAAAACGATGACAAATATATAGTAGTTGAATCACGATAAAGCTAAATGTATGGTTCATAAGGATGCCTTAATTTAAACAGAAAGAAAATAGTTTTTCTCCTTTAATTTATGGTGAACTGAATATTTTTACTACTGTTTATATTTTGATTTGTTTACCCCGAACGACGTCGGGTGCTCTGCTAGTTAAGTATATAAAATTGAAAGAATTTTCTCTAATCCGAAAAGTCTTACAATACTGGGCCGATTTCAACGATTTTTATTTTATATGAATACTAGCAGACCCGGCGAACTTCGTCCCGCCCAAAATAATCTTTTTATTGAAACATTTGGTCCAACGTTTTCACCAACAATTCACCTTCACGTTTGGTTGGTGGTCGTTAGAAAGCATATCCTCCATTGCTGCTTTAGATAACTTAACGAAAGCGTTATGTCCGTGAAGAAGTTCTTGCGACAACAATGATCCGGTTGGTTGGTGGCCATTTCAATATGGAGCAGTATCATTGGTCCATAGAAATCCAATATATATAGACTTATTTCAGACTAAATACCTTAAATATCTTACAATTGTATTTGTAGGCATTCATCAAGAATTGTCTGTATTCTGTTTAGTGGTTTATTCAACAGTGGTAATTTGACTTTGATCCCTAGTGTCTCCAAATTACTTCACTTGACGATCTTAAGAAATAACTCGACTCCAGCGCCACCTTGCGGCTTTTTTTGATAGCACTATAGCACTGCCCCTTCCGTTACCAATATCTATATATCTCGAATATGAGGCAAATCGGATCATAAATACGATTTTTAGCAAGGCGTATTTAACAAGGTGGTGTTGGCCGTATATAAGTAAACAATTACACTAACAAATTATACGCTGATGTCCATACTGTCATTGGTATGAGTTACAACAAACACATCATTTTGACGTAATAGCCTCCACGGCGAAAAACTCAGCTGTCGCCCCAACACCACCTTGTTTAATACACCTTGATTTTTAGTAATAACTCGACTGCTACACCACCTGGCGTTTTAAGTTGTAAACCTAAATTACACAGTGACCCACTCAAACGCATAAAAAAATTTCATTAAAATCAGAGCTGTTAACTAATGATTATAAATTGTTATGATTACCGATTTAATTATTATTATTTTTTAAATTTTCTCAATGATTAATTACCATTATTTCCACCTTTAAATTAATAATTACCGATTACCATTAAAAATATTCAAAAGATAATCGT